TGAGGGAGATACCATAGTGGTTCTGAGATGTATGGGCCCACATACTAGGACCAGAGAGATACATCTAGGAGCTAAGGATGGGCCCTAGCTGATAGCCAGCAAGAAGACTGGAACCTCACACCTGGGAAGCTGATGAATATTCTATTGAGATCCTCCCCCGAGACCTCCAGATACAAGCCCCAAGGACAGAGGACCCAATGTCACTCTCTCTATGGAGCACACCCGTGCCTTTCCCACTCTCTTTTCTCAGGACTCTTTCTCCGTAGCTCCCAGGGCCCTTCTTTCCGTTCTGTAACTTGTTTCCTGAGCCCATTTCTTCTCAGGCTCTCTTCTTCTACCTCTGTGACTCTTCTAAGTAAACTTTCTCTTAGAGTTTGAGTCTTGCTCTGAATTCTTTCTTAGCTAGAACTCAAGTACTGAAGTTGCTGAGCAGAAATCTAGCACCTGATCCTGTGTCAACGCCAACAGTAAGTAGACAAAATTAATAAAAACATGTGCATATATTTAGCATAATATTTAAATTATATGATTAGTTTTCTTGTTTTTTTTTGTGTTTTTTTTCCAGGTTAGGTTGGGGAGAAATGTTACAAATAAATTAAAATCTGTTTGGTATCAGACTTATCCTTAACAACATTAAATACCCAAAGGCAGTGAGGCAGTTTCAACTTTAAACATTGGAGAAGAAAAAGCCTCAGAAATGTATACTCAATTGAGTTGACATTCATATTTGAAGGTCTTAGAAAAATATTTGTAATATGTACAAAAGCTCAGCAAATGTACCACAGATAAATACTTGTCATACATATACTTGATGAAATATACCAATAAAATAATACTGCAATTAAAATACAAAAAAATGAAAAAAATTATACAGGAATGATGAGTTTCAAAAAGAGAAATAGTAAATATCAAAGTTGAAAATATTCCAAATAATTGATGAAGGTAAGTAAAAAAATATATAAATAATTCTTCCATTAAAATATTGCCAAACTAGAACCACAAAATATATCATCAAAGACAATGAGGTTGACTTAGATTAGGGGAATCTAAAAATGTTAAATTCCTCATCTTAGTGGGAAAAAGACATTTTTAAATTCTGGATTTCATTATTAGAGTATTTTTCAAAGTTGAAAGTTTTTACCAATGGAACACATAATGAAATAACTTTTAAATCAAAAGAGAAAAATAAAACCAAGGAATATTGACTCTGTATACAAAAAATAAGAAACTGAGCAAAAACAATAAAAGCCCCTGAAAGACAAATCAAATATTTTAATGTTATAATTTTACATTTAAAAAGCAGCATCAAAACATTAAATTTAAGCATGACTCTAAAATAGTTGAAGAAAATTCTCTAAAATTATAACTGATTCTCTCTAGTTTCTTAAGTGGTAATTTTTCTTCCTTTTTTACATTTATTTTCTAAGTTTTCTAAAATCACTATATATTTTATAGTAAAAGTAATCAATATAACCATAATAAAGTAGTGGAAGAGGAATATTGGCTTCCTGTAATGTCACTTTGGGTAGAAGACAAGGAAAAGCAAATGGGAAGAGATATAATGATTTTATATAAAGAAATAAAAACTAGAGGTGAATTACCACTTGGATAAGGGTAATGATTTCTGAAATTATAAGCCAGAGAATCTAAACATGACTGAATTTCAGATAAAATAGAAAATGCCATTTTCATAATCAGTGAGTTGCCAAAAACAGTTTATGAGGATATGTGAGTGTATGTGTGTGTGTTGTTGTTGTGTATTTATATAGATTTCCACAAACATACCATTGACTTGTAGACTACAGGGATGGAAGTTACTCCATTTGAAATGTTATCCAGTTATTGCCTTCTTACCTAATTTTGACACTGTTCATTGAGAAATGTTGTATCTCATTAGTCAAGTCATTGTAAACTTTAACTCCTACATTTTATCCTCAACTATATTTTACATTTATTCTGTATGTGAAAAATAATTTCTAACTTATACATTTTTATATTACCCAAATAAGCTATGCATGGTTTTTATTATTGACATTATATTGATAATGTCAATATAATTGGCTTCTCAAGCCACTACAGCATTAATAAGCAGGAAATCAGGAGGCTCATAATTTATGTATTAAAACTGCAGAACAAACTACAGTTAAAAAATTATCTTGGAGTAAACAGATAACTACAGCATCAGGATTGCATTGCTTAAGTTTGTTGATATCTAACAAACCATGTGCGGAAGGGGCAGACATCCATCAGAGAAAATGAACACATTTTAAGCATAGAATTTATCAAATAGGCCATCTTTAGTACCAATTTTTCTTTTGTTTTTTTTATCACTTTGGATACAAAATATGTTTGGATTCACTAGAAACTACTTTTCAGAATAAATAGCAGTCACATTTGTATTATATCTATGTGAAAAAGTTGAACTGGAGAACTCATTTCATTTATCTCTCTTTTTTGTGGGGGTGAAGCAGGGAGACTAGATACATGCACAGTATGGAATAAAGTGCATATCCCTGGGCCTATGGATATGATGACATAAAAACTTTTTTTTTTTCTGAATGAAACTGTTTCCATGTACTTTCAGTTATCTTTATATTTTTCTGGATGAGTTAATGTTCTGGAAATGTTAACTCAGCAATTGATTTGGCAGCAGAATTGAAAAATGAACCATTTTTGGCTCTTTTTGTTTTTTTGTTCTTCTACATTCAAAATACATGGAAAAATAATTTTTGTGTGTGTTATATTACGTGGTTGTCATCACAAAGATGTGTTTGAGGTTTTTTTTCTGCAAGCTATAATTAAGAACTTCTAATTTAAATAATGACTCAAATCTACATTAAATTTAAATATGTCATCTGATATTGAGAAAGTCATCCTTAAAAACTGACAATAACTAGAATGGGGCATAATGTGAAGAACCCCTCTTGCAAAAAATGGTTAGCTTTGTTGTTCTCAACTCTGCAGGATTCTTAGTCTTTTCCATTTTAATCTTTTTTAAAGAAAGAGTTGAATCTATAAATAATATTATAATGTATTTTTAGAGAGAAGTAAGATTTTACATCAAGTATCTGTATGATGATATAGAGATGAGAGAGGATAAAGAAAAATTAGCAATATATATGTTTTCTATTTCCTTTATCACATATACCAATATTCCCTGTTAGGGATTTGGAAATTATGGGTATTATGCATTCTATACTAGTTCATTATAAGAGCTATAACATACATTGAGTATTGAATGTCTTCATATTTGAATCATAAAAATGGAAAGTAGCTTCCTAGAAGCAAAGATAAAGCTTAAATCTCAACCTCAAGAACCAACAAAACAAGCATAATGAACTCAAACACAAAGCAAAACAAAACATGGTCAAGACATGAAATAGCCACAAATAAAACACAATTACATAAATAAAAATGGCCCAATTTGTGTAAAACCGTATCAGTTTCTAAATAAAACATTCTCCCTTAGTATTAACTTTTTATTACATAGGCAGTTTACTATTAACTCATGCATCATCAGCATTAAAGAATTAAGATCAAAACTTGGAATGTCATGAATTTGATGATAAGGGGGAATCTCTTTATTGACTCAGCTGTTCCAGCTGACTGTTATTTAACAGTGAAAGACAGAACACAGCCCTAGATCAGCAGTTCTTAGCAACAATGGTTTTGTTCTCCAGAAGACATTCAGCAATGTCTGTAGTTGATTTTGGTTGTTGCAATTCTGAGTGGTGCCAGTAGTAACTAATGGATAGAGGCAAGGAATCCTGCTAAGTATCCTACCCTATAAAGGACAACAAAGAATTACCTGGCCCAAAATATTAGGAGGTTGACGAACCTTCCTTTGGAATGAAAGGCGTTAGGGTAAGAAGGAGAGTTTACCAGGAACCATTCATTTTTAAAAAATATGTCCATTGAAGCTTGATTACACATTTTGTTGAGTATTTGAGTGATGGCATGTATACAGAATGGCCACATGTAGAAGAATTATGCACCTGAATTTCTAGCATTTATATGAATTTTTGCAAAAGAAACTTGAAATAGAGATAGAACAATGTAAATAAATAGAGTACTTGGAAAAATGTCTTTGTCTTATAAAGACTAAATGCAAAGTAGTTGCAAACAGAACTCTGAACTCTGAGGTGGTCTTGAGTGAACCAGCCTGAGGTGGCGAAGCATAATGTGGAAATAAGGCCCATAAACATGTAAATAGGGCCTAGGGGTTAAGAAGCACATCCTAAGCTTTCTTGACTATGGCTTTAACCAGTTCTCTACTGAGAATGAGGTCACAGATGCCTGACCCTGAGTCTTGGTTGGTTTCTTGTATGTCATATATGATTTGCTAGATATGTATGCTAATGTTAGTTGTATCAAGGTCATTCCAGTATGTGAGCTCTGTTCCTTTCAAATAATAATTTCAGTTACAGTCATAAAGCTCTGGTGTAAGAAGGCCCCTTCAGATAACATAACGCAGTGACAGCACCAGTAAATCAGACCCTCATGTGCATTTCTAGTCTGACACTCCAAGTAGGTACACCAATAACCATCCCACTTACAAACCAATGTCCAAACAACACCTAATGGAATCTGAGTGTTCCATAAAGTTCGCTTTTTAGAATGGAAATGGTCACTGAGAGCTTTGGCTTATTTCAACATGATTGTCATCGACTGTGTACGTAACCCATCTTTCTTTCTATTGAAACATGAAGTCTCTGATGAGCAATATGAGACAGGAGAAAAGGAAAAAGTAAGGGGAAATGTTTCTGATTCAAGAAGCAGGAAAATGCCTTCTCTACTGTGCTTTTAAAAATGATGTAATAAAATTAATCTTACCCCAGATAATATGTTCTAAGGCTATAACAAAAATTATGTCTCCTGTTTACTAAAATAATTTTCTAGGAACATTAAATCCACAGAGATAGGAATTTTCTTATTTTTAAAAACTACCCAACACACATACTTAAATATGTAGAATTTCATTTAAATAAGTCAGTCAACAATTTTTTATAAAGTATTTAACACTTCATTGTAGAAACATAGGCAAAATGACTATTATAACCAAAATGAAAAATACTGTTCAATTTAAAAAATGTACTTAAACAAGAACCTGAAAAAGTTTATGATATGCATAACATTGTTCAAGCAAAATTACACTAGTATTACATAAATCAATAGTTTATAAAGGCCTCAATATGGCAAAGTTTAGAAATAGGTAGTATGCATGCACATAGTACAACAAAAAGTCTCTTTATAAAACAGCAGTTTTTTTTTTAATGCTTGTACAAAGGGATAAGAGCAACCACAAACATATTTCATCTGTTAGGTTAATACATTATGACAGCTAAAAGTCAGTCATGTCTATCAGAGGAACAAAAAGCCCTCCATACCTTGTGAATAAATCTTTTGTGCCTTTAAAGATATTTGTATAAAAATGCTATCCTTTTTTATACAACTTAAATAAATCGTACTTGTTTCAATTAAAAATTGAAAACAAACAAACCAGTGAATGGGGTCCATGTGTTTTTGCATAACAAAAAGAAACCAGGGTACCAGGGAAACTGGTCAGCATTTATTCCCTCCACCTTTGATTACAGGCAGATATTAATTATCCTATAACTGGGCAAGTCCTTTAAGAATATAATTTTGATAGGGAAAATAATGAATTAGTCATACTGTATCTTGAAAATATTTATCAATTACTCTATACCATAATGACTCTTTTGCTTCTTCTTTTTGACCTAGAAAAGAAAATGCATTCACATAATTGAAATTCTGTCATCAATTTGTGTGCTTATGTATTATTCTTTAGTGTTCTGTGTGGGAAGGGGTTGGGTTACTCTTCCCCTAAATGAACATGATTGGAAAGAGATTTCTAAGAGGTCAGCAACCAATACCCTGTTGTGCTCTAGGCTGGCTATTTACCTCAGGACTGAGGGAGAACAAAAGGTCTTATCGCATAGCAATGTGGTTTTTCCACTCTGGGTTATATTTTTGCTATGTTCTACCACCTAAATATAACTATTGGTTGCAGGGTGTATATGTTTAGTATACCTCATATAGTTCACTAAATTTTGGAAAAGGTAGTCATATGTGTTCATGCAAATTATTCATTTTATATATTTTCAAAGATTTTTCTCAAAATTCTCATCTATCACTTGGCAATCTAAGGCTAATTTCAAAGCAGGAGATGCTGAACTTGTGAGGGCTATATATTTTCAGAAGTCGGAATCCATCTTAATGGGCGCAAAGAAGAGAGTCGACCTTTCAATCATTCTTTTACCAATTGAAACATAAAAGTAAAATGACATTGTATTACAGGTTTCAGATCACATAATGAAAAAGTATAGAGACTCACTCTGTGGATTAAGTAGAACCAAAAAAATTTCATATAAAATAGATTGCTCATATTCACACTACAAAGGAATATGTTGTTTTTAATTTTAACAAATTCAAAGGGGTGTCATATCAGCAGCATTGTTGTAAATTGTACTGTAGTGCAGTTCTTGTTTCATAAAAATACCATACAAATGGTCAATCAATGGTCATCAGCAAAAAATAAAACTCAGAAAACAATTAACCAGGGAAAAGATAAAGAAAGAGGTAATGCTGATGCCAAAACAAGTATAATACTGTTGGAACATACAAAAGTAATCCTTATATTTTATACATTTTTACAGTATATAAAAGGCATCGCTGATTATGCCACTGTCTCTCTTATTCCAATTTCTATTTTCTTTGGAAGCAGTTCTTTCCTTTCGTCAACACTTCCTAAGGAGTTTCGACAGTTTGGCCCATCCATGTATAATTTTGCATACACTGGATTGGAGTAATTTGTTGGCTGAAGGAGAAAAAAATAGATAAGTACAATTCTATTATCAGTGTTCACCACATTAATTAGCTATTTTCTAGGATGTCTGTCTTTTAATGCTGACATTAAAAGTATTTATACGCAATACTTTTAACTTATTAAATAGTAATGATTTCAATGTAATTTAATTTGTGTGTATATGCTTTTGTTGACTTTAGCCTGGTATTAGATAAAATCATAATTGCATGTTTTTCAGGTAACTTGTGAACCTAATGGGAGCTTTGACATAAATATTAAAGTCCCAAAGAAATCATTGTGAACTCTATATTCCCTGAGATTTTACTTAAAAACATAAAACGTGAAACTAATGTGTTATTTCCAGTCCATATGCTTTCCCTGCTTATTGCTATTGCAACGACAGGAAAAATGTGTTTACAGAAAGTCATCTAATTGCTCAGTGCTGATAATTTTTCAATATGAAGTTAAAAGCAAGAAAACAAAGAAAAAGAAAAATATAATACATTGGTGGAGTAGATTTTAAAATAAAGACAATATTTTTTGCTTCAAACAACCTCTATGCACTTATCACTGGAAATATTTTTGTATTCTTTCAAGGCATTGAGTAGTACCTAGTCATCTTAGGTTGCACAGATATTTAGAGCATATTGAAGTAGAATTAAAACCTGCAGAAATGATCTCTTTCATTTGGAAAAGATATACAAATGTTCATATTTTACTAATTGCAACTTAACCCAAGAAATCATTGCCTAGTGTTTTAGTTTTTTTCTGTTTGTTTCCTTTGTCTTTCCAAAAGCAGAACATTAAATCTTAGTTACATCAAAGAAACATTATAATCTTTGAGCCATGCAGTTGACAAACATGATAAAAATGATAATGAAAAAACAGTTGATGGGAGACTTGATACCCTTATTTTATCCCTCTTCTAACATAAACCATGTGACTTTAGACAGAGTACTTTCCTCTAAAAGCTAGCTACTTAATTTAAAAAGAGAATGCTTTTATTAGACCATTTCTAATTTCTCAAGATGAGGCTTTGTTTGTAGTATATTTTTATTTAACTGGATATCAACTTTGTATATATTGAATAAAATATCTTAAGAAATGTCTGAAAACAAATTTAAGTTTAAATTATTCAGTTTAAATCTCTAGCTAGAGATTTCTAAGAATAGCAGACTCATGTTTATTGTTAAAGTTCTATAAGATGTTCAAACTCAGAAGAAAAAATATTTCAAATATTTCTACTTAATAGCTTGCCTGAAATGATAACATGTATTACATGTAATCTTTCATAGGCAGGATACACAACATCAGCCCCAATTTTAATACTGTTTTCAAATCTCTTCTTAATTAAAATCTCAATTAAAGGCAAGCCCCTACCTAAATCTAGTAATAGTCTCTGATTGTGAGAGGTTCTGTGATGGAATGGATATGAAATAATGAATTCGCTTCTCTCACCCCAGCAGTTAGTGGTCCTTTCAAATCAGAGTTTAAGTAGATGGGTGGCGCTGTATGTGGAAGCTTGAAAGCACCGGACACACCCCCTATATACCTGCCCTGTACACAAACAGAGAATTTTAGTTTCTCATCTAATATGGAACTCTTTTCATTGACATAAACTTATGTTAAGTCATAAGGATAACATAAAACATTTTTTTAACCCGGGGGCATGAACAATGTACTCATGGTAGCTTTAATAATTTAAGGACTATTGATATTAAATATTTGATCCATAGGTTGACATTTCTATTATGTCCAGATTAACTTAATTTTATCCTCCGCAATGAAATCACATCTTTGCTAGCAGCACTGTGAAAAATACACCAGCCTCCCTGACTTCAGATTTGGTCACTTTGAAAATTCCTGACAGTAGCCCATTCTGGACACTCAAGTATCGGACATCTTCTAATTAAAGACTCATCACCACTGCATATTTTTACAGAAAAAAACAAATTTAATATAGCATAAAACAAACATCTGTATTTTTGGAAATCTGTTAGTCTAAAACACGTTAACTAGAAATTAAATTGGCTCACTAAGTCTTCATATAAGAGTACTGACTTGAGACTTCTTGGAGGCTAAGGGCAGAATTAGCCAATCTGATGCACTCATATGCATAATAGAGTATTTATTGGTGACCCTCAAGGAAAAAAACTAGATGAAAATTTGAAGAATATGAAAATTTTAATGAATGTACATATTTTAAAAATCTTAACTAGCAACAATGAATGATCACAACATTTGGGACAAGGTCAAGGGTGTCAGGAAAATATTTTAAACATAAATTTAGGTCAATATCACCTCTTTATCCCCCCTCCCACCCCAAGGGTCTTATTTAGAAGATACTTAAAACAATCTAAGTAAGAATTGAATAAATTTTGAGATAAAATCGGTAAATACTAATTTTCCTTTTTTGAACTCTTCAAACTATACTGTGATTGCCTTCATAGGCAAGACTTTTAAAAATAACTTTATTAACCATTTCATTTCTTTTGATTATTAGGTATTATTAAGTAGAAATTTTATCTATTTTTAAAACAATAAATGATTTCTACCAAAATCTTCTTTATGTAATGCAATCCTATATAATAAAAGGCTAATATGCAAATTGTCCCCTCAGGCGGTTGTTTGACCAGGAGTTTGATCAGGAGACTGGGAGTTCGACTGCTTTCTATGACAGACGCTGACCACCAGGGGGTGGCACGGAACATGGCAGGCGTCAGTGACGCGCTGCAACCTCTCGCTGACTACCTGGGGGCGGGGATGTCGGGCATGGAGGTGCAGTGAGAATGTGGGGTGTCCGCCAATCTTGCTCTCACTCCCCCTGGTACCCTCTCCTGGGACACCAGGGCTCACATGCAGGGGAAGCCCCTGCGCTCACGTGCTGGGCACTCGCAAGGAGCCCACCCCGCATTCGCGCGGCTCCCTCTGGGTGAGCCGGGCCACAGCCACCTGGACCACAGGGCCCAGTCTGGCTGGAATCCCTGTGGGTTTGCACAGGAGCTAGTCTGTGAGGCCGGCCAGGAGAGAGTGTGTGGTCCACTCTGCTTCCGTGCAGCACCGCTGGGCAGCCCAGAGACCCATGCTGTGCCCCGGCCTGCAGCATCTGGCCATGCTCACCGCATCTCCGTGTGGGGACTCGGGAGCCATGACTCAGGTGGAGGGGGGCGCGCAGGGGCCCGGGGGCCCAGGTGCTGCCAAGGGCCCAGAGGTCAGCTGGGACCTGCCTTTCCATGCCAGATGCTTGCACTTGGATCGCCAGCCAGGCCTAGGGATCGCACCCGGGCATGAATTCCGTGCACCGGACCTCTAGTTTATATATAGTTGCTTATATCATGAATATGTCAAAGCATTGTAATGCAGTGAGTACTATGAAAAACATTTTATCCTTAAGGTTCTTCCATGTGGCTGGCTCTCTGATTTTCAAAATTGCTTATCTGTATTAGGACTACCTATTATCTGTAGTTCTTAGGCGACAATTCATATTTATATTTCCAACATCAGGAGCCAGCTAGAATCAACCATCTAGTCACATTTAATATAATTTTGGTCAATCAGTCAGCAAATTGGTAAATAAATATTTATTAAGTGTTATGTGCTTAAATAAATATTCATTGAGTGTTATGTGCTAAGTATATTAAAATATATTTGAGGGGCACTGAAGCATAGTTTTATCTTCCTAGAGTAAATGTGGAAACATTTTTAAATGGAATACTAAGAAGCTAGTTTCCTTAAGTGTCCAAAGTTGGCTTAATTCTATCACAAGAAAGAAAAATAATGGGAAAAATGAGAATTCTCCTTCTTATAAAAAGTGTGTTTTAATATGTCCTCATTGGTTCATATTATATTTACAGGTACCATATTTTAATTTATAAGAAAAATTCAAAGAATATGAGAAATCTATTATTTATGATGTCTTTCTCCTTCATAGATAAATTATCAAATAACAATGTTCTCAGTGTATATACTTTTTAAATTTGAAGTAGCAAACAGTGAAACTTAGATTATAAGGATTTATTCATGAACAATTTCAAATGTAGGAGTTGGTTACTTAAATAATTAATACTAACTATAAAATTATTCTTAATTAGGAATAATGACTTTAATACCCTTGAATTCAGAACTAGCTTAAATGTATGGGACTTAATTCAACTTCTTTGAGAATAACTGTTGCTATGAATGTAAAACCATTTGGAACAGATTGATCACTGTGATTATTTGTAATACAAAGATATATTTTATACATAGTACCTTTACATATCAGAAAATACATATTCAACAAATTAATGAATAAACTAAGAAAATAATATTCATCATATAAAATTGATGTTCTTAATTCATAGTAAAATATCCTATAATTATTATACAAAATATTCAGCTAATACAGTGAAGTGAATCTTTGCAAGTTTATCTGGATATTGTATCATTTACTTCTCTTAAAAGGTGCCAATAGGAACATATAATAATAAAAGCTTACAGAAACTTAAAAAAAAACTGTAGCTATTTAAACTATATATATCAGTGACATGTCTCAAAGTACATTACAGTACATAGAAAAATATTTTTCAAAAGTGATTTGATTATAAACAAATCCATGGGCAATATTTAGATGAGTCTACAATTAAACACTATTAGAAATGAAGTACTTATTTTGACAATAAAGTACTGTATTTTTATTATTAAAAGCACTTCAGACAGTACTTTTACACTAGTCTGTATATTTAGATGTGCTGGTACCTCAACACATTTGAATGAAAGATGCTATTTTAAGTAAACTACATGTTTATAAATTAAGTGAATAAATAAGTATGTATTTTCCAAAACATGTTGTACTAATTTCACGCTTCAGGTGAACGCAGTCCACAATCTTATTTTTTTTTTTCTTTAGAAGAGACAATAACATTTAGTACATCCTAAACTTCTTTCTTCAGAAAAAAGAAACACTGTTAAATTTAGAACCATTTTTGCAGAGCTATGACTCAAGAGTGTCAGTAGTCATTGCCCATCATCTTACCTTTGTTGGATCTATCATAAAACCGGGATCTAGAAGACCTCCATCGTTGTGATCATGATCCACCTCATACATGTTGTAAGATGGATTGCCAATTTCTACGTTTATTCCTCCATTGATAATAGGTTGTCTTCTAATAGTTTTTGTCCTGGATTATGCGAACATTGTTTAAGTATGAGTTTAAATATCACAATCATGGTGTATGAAACTATCAAACTATCATATTCATAGATTTATTCACTTATGGTAAGCTCATAAAAATATTCATTCAAAATCAAGTCACAGAGGAACAAAAATAACAATGTGATGCTATTTTTCCAAATTATTTAGCTTATTATTATTATTTTTGTTAGAATGAGTAATAAAAAATACCCTTGGAACATATTCCTCCTAAGTACCTAATTCCACATTAGTTGAAACTGAATATTCACTAATCAATTGCTTTTTAAAATTCTAGATTTTTCCTTTTTTAATGAAAATAATCCCTTAAAAATGATAAAAAAAATTTAAAATAAATCGCCTTCAACCCCCCAAAATCACATGGCTAAAAAGCCTCTTTTACATAATTCAAAAGCTGCCTCACACACTCTTGGTTTGTGATGATAACCACAGACAACCCACTCCTTCTGGATTTTTATAACTGCATATTCATATATATTAAAATGACACTTCCAGTAATATATAAAATAAACAAATGAACCATTTCTGATATATAATACATATTCAGTATCATTGTATTTACATTACTAATCTTTCATAATATAATACGATCCTTTTCAAAGACTCTTGAGTTTTCAAGGAAAAACTACCACATATGTAAAATCTACTAAAGTTTTAATTAATATTTTCCCATGTTAGTTTTATTAGAATATATGAATAGAGACATTTCCTCAACATTACATGGGAGAAGGGTTGTCTGAATTACAACCACTCAAAATGAAATAAAGGGATAAAATTGTTTGAAAACAGAATTTTAGTTAAAATAATTTATGTTTTAACGAATTAAAAAAATTATCTATGTTTCAGTAACTATTTGTGCAATTTATTTATTAACTGCTAGTCTAGAACATCGCACCGTACCTTCTTTTTCTTTTACAAAGCACTAACCCAATTACTAAGGTGGTTATCAAAGTCACCAGGAGCACCAGAGGCACAATGATGGCAATGCTTCCTGAAAGAGAAATGAATGAGTACATAAGCACATCAATAAAATAATGATTGATACAATTGAACACTGTATTACACCTAATCATTTGACCACTGACATAATAAAAGTGAAGCCTAGGCCAAATATCTATGTTCCTAGTTCAAGAAGTACATTATGAAACATCACTCTCCTATTAAATACTTGATCTGCTAGAAATGTTTCCTCAGATATCGTTCACTTATATGTTGCAGTGAGGTATCATGCTGTTAGAAATGCTGACTGCTTTGTCAGTCTGAGTCTGAATCACAGCACACACATTATTTGCAATGATGTAAGTACATGCTGGTAACTCCTTGCAAATTACATATTTACACAATTTCACTGGCCATACTACCACCCTTAGTTTTGTTCCTCTATCTATAAATACTCTCTGGCCAAGAGTACATGTGACAAATCAGAAGGCAGCCTGGCCAAACAAAAGGGACATCAGTGTTAAAATTGAATAGATATAGGCCTAAGTATCAGTTCCACAACTTATGCAAAGTGAGACCTTAAATGGGTAATTTAAAATCTGAGGCTTGACACATTGAATATTATTTAGCCATTGGAATATCAAATGATATATAAAAGCATCTTAAAATATGATATTAAACATAAAGTCAATTAAAATGTTTTTGAGGCTTATGCTCTTCATCAATAAAATAGACGAGAAGTCCTACACAAGGTCTGTTAGCTTAATTCAATGAAATAGGGGACAAGGGGGATTCTCTTCCTCAAGTTCCAGAACAGTTTTAATTGAACATATCTGGGAGATTTGGCTTATGTTGCAAATTTGGCTTAGAGTGGAAGGGAGGGAGGCAGGGAGAGGGGGAAGAGAGCACGCGAGAGATAGATAGAGAGGAAAATCAGTGTGACATTCACATGGATTGATTGCATCTTGACCAGGGTAGGGATCAAACCTGCAAGGTATGTGTCCTTGACTGGGAACTGAACCTGAGACCCTTCTGTATACAGGCCGATGCTCTAGAAACACCGAAACACTGGCCAGGGCAATGTGCCCTTTATCATGTACTAACAAGAATGATCTTAGATTGAATCACTGATCTACAAGCTGGAATAAAAGATCTATGAAATAGGTCTTCAAAAGTGATCTGAGAAACTGAGTGTTAGTTTTTACGCACCTGAGCATAGGGGAGAAGCAAAACAGAGAACCTCTGCCCTCTATTTCTAGGTTAGCAATAAGAGCAACCATTTTTTGTTTTCTTTTCATGAAGGAGTCAATCTTGGTGATGCTGTGATCCACAGGAGGATATGCCTGGGGTTATATGTCACTTATGCAGGCAGAAAACTGAATGCAAGTGTTGCTGACAATAGAAGAGTATTAAGTAGCTCTACCCAGTACCTAATGTTAACTTTCACAGACAAATATCTACTGCCCATGAGACAAAGGCGTCATTTATCTGGACTAGCATCTGGTTGATTCAGTCAAGGCAGCCTAATCACTGGTTAAAGGAAGAAACAAACCAGCAATGCAAAAGCTAATTGAAATGTAATGTGGGAATCTTGAATGGTTCAGGAATAAAACTTCAAGAAATATTAAATATTTGAATTTGCTTTTCAAGGACATTTGTGTAAAAATACTGTGGCAGAAATGAATCGTAATACTAAGCACAGTAAGCAGCTGCTTAGGGACTTTAAAATAGAAATATAGATACGTTTTCATAGCTATAGCCAGGAAGTATCTGTGTGCCATAGCCCATGGTGGAGATTCCTTACCAAAATACCAAAATGTCTTTATTAAGGAGATGTCATGTATAAGAGAATATTTTAATTTGAAGCTTCAAAAATAATTTGACTAAAATAACCAAATAACTATCTCTTCCATGCAAAACAAACAAACAATGAACATGGCTTGCCTTCTTTAGTCAGTTTATAGAATGCAAAACTCATTTTATTTTTTCCACGTTGTTACCAGGGCTATACAGCTCACTGAGTTTAATATTATATGGTTTTGGGAAAGTAAACTTGGATTTGGGAAAGTGAACTTTATATGAATGTGTAACTTATTAGTAATTAGTAAAAGTAGAGATTCTGGCAGATTGGATAGCAATTAACATTTGTTCACAAATTGTAAATGCCAGTGAACAGCTGGTTTCTTCATAAACAATGACTTTAACTGATTGATCATGACTTTATAAATAGCCTTACTTCATTACTTATCTTTTTTTCCTGCTAAAATTTGTAATATATTGGCATGTATTAAACGTACCAATAATTGTTTTAAGGTATATAAACTTACGTTCCCTTCAATGCAAATTGTATGTTATTTAGAAAATTGGATATTTGTCTACATAGGGTTTTTTATTCCTTTGAGGTAGAACTGTTAATTATGCATGCTGGCAAACAAATAACTTTTTCTTCTTTCTCCCATCACAGATGGCAGTTCCAATCCCTTACATTACAGCACTTTGTTTAAAGGCCTGGATTTCTAATGTATTTATATAACCAAGCAAGGTAACTGCAATAATGCTTAATGTAGCCAATAAATAATTCAGGGTAGCAGTTTGGCAATGTATGAAGATGTAAAATAGTTGATATTGATGAAAACATTTGGCAACCACATGTATTTTTGGACTTATACGATAGATATATATCAAATTAGGTATATATTTTTAAGTAGAATATATAGCAGTAAATGTCATAATGCAACATATGATAATTCATATTTCAGGAGATTTTTAAATAGTACATTATTGGTGGATTTTTCTAAAATGATTTTTAAAAGCACATTCTATACTTATTAAGGGTTGAGGGGATACTTCAAAGACCTTCTCATGTAAAATAGAGCAAGTTTTTCTTGGCCACATTGGTCTGAAGCCTCATCATCCAATACTTTTCTATTAGAAAAAAAAACCCTGCATTATTAAATTGTTATGTTGGAGAGACCCCTTCCCCGAGAGAGGCACACAGCATAGCAGCTGAGATAATAAATTCTGGAGCCAGGCTACCTCTGGTCACACCTTGCATTACTAACAACATGACATTGGGAAGATTATTTATCTTTGTCTCAGTTTACACACATCTACAAAGAGTGTCATCATTAATAGCTACCTCATAGTCATTCATGTAAATAGGATTATGTTTAATACATAGAAAGTGCTACATACAGGTTTATTAATTCATTAAAATAAATTGCCACAGAACCCTGCGTATGCCTGTTTTGCACGTTTTACAATATATTGTAGAAACCAGTTTCTTTGTAATTTGAGGGTTTAAACTGTTTATCTCTCTTTGTTTTGCAGATAGCACAGTCCCTAGGATATCATAGGGACTGTACATTCGGTTCTTATTTTAGTAAATATATTTTAAGAGTCGCTATGTCCCACACACTCAGCATGCACTCTGCTTTGCACTGGGGACACAAATGTCCCTGCTCTCACATTGTTTGATATAGTTTAGAAGATGACAAAGAAATGTGCTTATTTAACAGGGTGCGATAAGCGCTCCCCTGGGGAAAGTCTGCATTGCTCCGGAAATATAAAGAAGTATCCAACCAGATCCAGGATAGGGGAGGACTGGTGTGCCTTTGAGACCTGCGAGTGAGTCCTCTTTAGTCTAATGGAAGAGAATGCAGGTCAATGGGAGTAGGAGATACTTAATTAATCTAGGAAGAGAAATGTGGAGGACTGGAGGAGGAAAGATGACAAAACAACAGTGTGGCTGAAGTGCAGAATAGAGTGGTGGAAGATGCGGCCATAGAGGACAGCAAAGGGGTGTGCTGAAGGGCTATGTAAGCCTTGTCAAAGAGCCGGGCAATGTACTGCTTAACAAAGGGGTGAGGCCCTAGCAGCTGGTTTGGCTCAGTGGATAGAGCATCAGCCTGAGGACTGAAGGGTCCCAGGTTCGATTCCAGTCAAGGGCACATGCCCAGGTTGCCAGCTCCAACCCCAGTGGGTGGCATGCAGGAGGCAGCTGATCAATGGTTCTCTCTCATTGATGTTTCTATTTCTCTCTCCCTCTCCCTTCCTCTCTGAAATCAATGAAAAAATAATATATTTTTAAAAAGGGATGAAGTTGAAGAACACTTAGGAACTAATATCTACTGGATATATTGTTTGACTTGACTTTAGAGAGAAGAAACATTAAGAGCAACACTTAAGTGTTGCTTGGGGAACCGGATAGATTTTTTTATAAGCCATTCATATATATAGGAAGGCAAAACAAGGTGCATGAATTGTCTGGTTGAGTGGAGAAAGGTGATGAGATCATTTTGGGATATATGGAGCCTAAAATTCCTGTGGAATATAGGTAGATAGATATAGATATAGATAGATATAGATATAGATATAGATATAGATATAGATATAGATATAGATATAGATATATAGATTAGATATAGATATAGATATAGATACATATAGCAATGTGCAGTAGGATATATGTCTCAAATTCAGAAAAAAAAAGCCAGGATTGAGGATAGTAATTTAGCGGTAATCAGCATAGAGTTGATAACTGAGTCAGGAATTACTGATTGCCAAGAAAGAATGTAAATAATGATAAGATGACAGTGAGTTAACCAGAAGGAGAGAAAAACAGAATCTCACTAAGAAGACATTGCTGCTTCAAGAAGGGTACAAGGGAAACCAGAAGCATTGCATTATGGAGCTCAAAAGAAGAGAAACTTTTGCTTATTGGTTGCATTTATCATAGAAAATATAAAGATAAATTATACCACTTTTGACATGTTGCTATATTTTCTCTTAAGTTTACATTTATATATATGTATAAATTAGAGGCCCAGTGTACTGCTGTCCCCATGGTACCAGAACACTGGTATTCTATCAACCTCTTGAATGTGTCTCTTTCCCGCTCCAGGGTTTTTATACCTGCTCTTCCATGGGTTTGAAACACCATGAGCCTTTCTTCTTTTTAATCCTTCAGTTTCAGTTTAATTATCATCATCTCAGAGAAGTGACTTTTGACCTCACTTCCCCCCTGCCATTCTCTATACTTGGTTCTCTTTGGCTTCCATCATAGAATCAATACAAACTCACACTTACTTTACACATGTACATGCTTACTTATTTGTCTCCTTCTGTGGTTTATGGCTGTTTGCCCTTTAGAACCTCAGCTTCATGAGAAGAGGCACTGTCTGTCTTACCTATTGATCTATCTCTGAGATCTAGTACCGTACTTGGCACTTAGAGGCTTGACAAATATTTGCTTGGGAAGAATTAGGACAAAAGCATTATTTTGTTGCACTTTTCAGTTCTCTCTATATGTTTGTAATTTTATGATTCCTTGGTATCATATAATTTCCTTTCTGTTTTAAAACATGATGGTATAAAAGAAATAAGGGCAAAGTAAGGAAAGAGGAGACACAATCCCTAATGGATATATTTCTGTGGTCACTAGAGTAAAATACTTCTCCAATGCCCCACAAATGCTGAGTATCGTTTTATGCTCCTTAATTTTAGCATATACAAACAGCATAAATCAAACATTGGATATCTACTCCCTTCAAACTTGTAAAATTAAAATAGGGACATATAATGAATATTCTATCACCCTTAGTTTAATATTCTTCAAAATAACTCCAGAAGAGTCAGATGAGCTTTTTCAAGTGGAACCTAAGCAGCCGTAGGATACTAGGTCTGCTTAATTCCACGAGCTAAGTTTTAGATACTTTAACAGTAACGGCCAGAAAACATCAGTGTGACTACTCAGAGGTGATTAAGAAAGCTGTGCATCAATTAGAAAGGTAAATCTGTGTGCCAGTTGGCAGTAGTTAGGCCGACAGAGGCAGTGTGTTCTCAATTACTCCAAGGTCCAATGATTATGGGATCCTTCACTGAAAGCAGAAATGCAGATTTAAAAACACACCCTAAAGTATTCATCTTTCTTATGGGCAAATGACTCCTGCCCGAGTTCAGGGAACATTTCACAAGCATTCCAAACCACTGCACTTCACTACAGAATAAAAATGACCCTCCTACCTTAGGAAGATCAGTTTAACTATCTCTTTTCAGACTTATAGAGGCAAGTTTCTCAAAGTGTAAATGTCTAATGATAAGTACTTTCTAATAGAGTCATTATTTGGTCAACTTTGCTCATCTCTGAGATAATATGACATTTACATAGCTAATAACCCATCAATGTGCATTGATGTTTCCATTAAATTCAATGACCTTAGTCAGCGAATGAAGGGAGTCAGAATCTTTGGGAAAAGGTTTACAATTTCTTGCAACTCCTCCTCCTATTCCATGTTCCGTGAATTAGCACTGTTACATGTAATTAGAGGCATCTCCTTATAAGGCAGCTTATTGCCCATGCAAACAGTTGGAGACATCACCCTCCAATAAAAATATATATATATATTTGGCACACCCCTCCTCCATACCATTTTTGTGTGTGTGTGTGTGTGTGTGTGTGTGTGTGTGTCTATTTTTATTGATTTCAAAGAGGAAGGGAGAGGGAGAAAGAGAGAGAAACATCAATAATGACAGAGAATCATTGGTTGGCTGCCTCTTGCACTCCCCCAATTGGGAATGGAGCTCGCAACCCAGGCATGTGCCCTTGACCAGAATCGAACCTGGGACCCTTCAGTCAGCAGGCTGATGCTCTAGCCACCGAGCAAAACCAGCTAGGGCCTCCATACCATTTTCCAAACACCAAATGTTTCCGTTTGGATGGACCTTATATAAAAATTGAAATTCAATTGACATTATTCTCCCTTCCTTCCTTCCTTCCTTCTTCCTTTTCAGAGAGTTTTATCAGTATTTAAGTTTTTTGACTTTCTAAAGGTGTAGTACTCCACTTATCTTAGGTAATTGAGAAATCACCATGACATAAATGCTGAAATACTTTGTCATTATTTTCAACTTACAAATCCAGTGTGTTCTACAGATTGGTAATTTAAAATGCATTCTTTATTTTAAAATGCTCTTAATAATGGTTGCGTTTTGCAATTAGATCACAAAGTCATATGCCAATTAGTATGTTTCCAGAATTATTTTTAGTAATATTAGCATGAACCTTAGTTCCTGGGAAGAGAGAGGAAGAATCTTTATTTTCGTTTTCTTTTCCTATCCTTTTGCAATAGCGAATTAGGCAAGGTGTATTTTTCTACCTCCGTACCTTTTATGAACCAATTTCCCAAATCCTTGTGCTCTATTCCTATAATTATGTGCCCATAGCTTTCCTAATGTCTTCTCCCTTCCCTTTTCTAAGGACAACACACAAAGTCTAGGATAAACCCCAAATGCTTCATGAGCAAAGATCAGTCACCTCATCTCTCCAAATTCAAAAATTCATGCCTAGGTTATTTATTCTAGATCTATGTGCCATTTTTAAAAGATGCTCAGGTTTATTAGTCCAAATTAATCTCTAAATTCTGTCTTTAAACAATGTTCCTGGAAGCCTGCTCTAGGGTATCAAAATCTGTATACTTTGACTTTGATAGTGTCTTTCATTTTTCACAAACTCCGGAGTAAGTTTTTGTTTGTTTTCATGAAAGCTTTATTATCAGCAGTAAAGAACTAGAGAAAATTTGCTAAAGTAAGCATTCATCAATCGGGGATGTAATTTTTCCTCATCAAGAAAATATTTACTCAATTGATGGATAGTACAGACTTTTCAAAAGCTCTCCACTCATGGTCAAATTAATAACGATATGTGTAAATTAAGAAATTTTATTTCATACTTTTATTTTGAAATGTTTATAAAGTCATTTAAAGTTGTTGGAAAACAGATGCACAATGATGATTAGATGGATTGTTATATGAGACACCAGTCTTAAGACCAGAGCAACACACAAAAAAAAGAGTTGTAAAATGTTACACTATATTTTAATATACTTCTAAACCAGCATTTTAAAGACAAGCAATAAACCAATTATAACTCTTAAGAATTGCTGTTAATATACTTCTCTTTAAGACTAGTCAGTCAAATTCATTTTTCAACAACACATTGAAAAGCATTTGAAGAAAATACAGTTTGCTCTAATTAAAACATGAAATTATTTTTCTTCCTTGAGCATTTTCATGTCCATGTGATACAGGTAGCCTCTGTAGCTCAAGTCCATTTCCCAAGAAAAGCTTATGCTAGATTTGCAGATGAGCATCAAGAAAAGTGCTGAGGTTTGAGATGAACTCTCACTGCCTAAAAGACAGCATAGATTCAGAGACACAGAAGCATGGAACAGACTGTGGAATCTCAGCGGGAAGGCAGGGGTGGGTGGATGGGTAGGAAGAGATTAACCAAAGAACTTATATGTACACTAGAGGCCCAGTGCACAAAATTCATGCATGGGTGGGGTCCCTAGGCCTGGCCGGCGATCAGGGCCAAGGAGGTGAGTTGCCTGGTTGGGCACGGAAGGAACGGATGCTGGACGCCGATGCTGCCATCGTTGGCACCCTGCCACTGAACGGTCCCCTGCCTCGCCCCCCCCTCCTTCCTTCACCTCTTCCGTGCTGCCACTCTGGCGGGTGGGCAGCAGGCTGATTGGGGCTGCTGGCAGGGAGGAGGGATGGGGCACAGGAGGTTGGCCACCAGCCCCAAGGAGGGATCCGGCCCTCGGCCCCCCTGAAAAAGGGGCCACTCCCGCCACCACCCAGCCTGGGGCCTGCCCCTGATCCGGTGATTGGTGCCTGCTGGCGGGGGGTGGGGGAGATAGGGACCACAGGAGGTTGGCCAGCCAGGGGGAGGTTGGCTGTAGGAGTGCACTGGCCACCGGGGGGCAGATCCTGTGTTGAGCATCTGCCCCCTGGTGGTCAGTGCATGTCATAGCAACAGTTGTTCTGGTCATTCTGGTTGTTCCAGTCACTTAGGCTTTTATATATGTATATATGCATAACCCATAGACACAAACAAGAGTATGGTGAAGGCTTGGGTTCAGGTGTGGGCTAGGAAAGGTTAATGGGGGAATAAAGAGGAGATCTGCAATACTTTCAACAATACGTATTTTAGAGAGAGAAAGAGAGAGAGAGAGAGAGAAAGGGCACATAAATGCTGGATCCTGTCATCAGGTGAGAACTCAGAGCTTCATCTTCAAAAAAGAACTGGGATAGCAGAGGATCTTTTGCAAACCTTCATAAAAGACTCAACTCCCCTTACAAAGGCATCAGAAATTATTTATATACTAAAACACACAAGATATGAATCTGAGGCACTTACTTGTGCTGATATGATCAGACTTGCTGCTCTTTGGGGCTTGCCTCTCACATTGTGTGCCTGACCAGTTGGTGGAGCATCTAGAAATATTAAAAAAAAATCAGTGAATAACAACCTACAAGTCTGCTAATTTAGTAACTTCAACCAAATGGAATGGAGGAGCCAGCCATCACAGATTAATGGATATTAGGGAGAGATATCTGCTAATTTCCTGGATATTGTCAGTATGCTGAAGGTAACTTCAGTTGGACGTCACCAGTTTAAATACATTATAAAGTTTAGTTTTATAGCCATTTTTCTTTATTTTATGCTAACCTAAAAATGGTCATATTTTATAGCAAAATGGAAATCTTAATTAAAATTTGGGAATTAATTTGAGAAATACTGAAAATTATAAGTAGCCAATATAAAAATTGTGCTTGATTGTCAAATAAATCCTCCTTTAGTAAATTTCTGTGATTGAAAAAGTTTGTGTGTTTTTTTTTCTGGTTGTTCTGAGTCCAAAGTGGAACTAGCTATCACTGAAGCTGCAGAATGTTTACTCTCTTAAGCAGATAAAAGAAAATAGAGTGTTTTCTCATTTAAAAATCATACTTCTATGACTATCATACTTCTATTATAATATAAAGAATATGCCCATGTTTTTATTGTCTTCCTTAAAATAATAGATAGGATTAAAATCCATTATTTAAACATAAATCATGACCATAGAATTAGCTGGTTACATCAAATAAATTCTAGAGTGGTTCTAGTTATTTTGAACAATGCTTGTTGGCTAAGATACACAAGATGCCTCCCTGTATTTGTCAGTGGAAATTCACAGAGCAATCATTTAATGGGCTTCAGTTCTTATTTAAAATAACAGTAAAAAAACACCATATCAACAATTGTTGCACACAGTAAAAGAACATCTTCTAGAACCATTCCAAGAATATCTTTCTGGTCATAATGGCCAATCTAAATAACTGCAATTTCAAGGTCTCTGCCAGTTCTGTCATAGCCAATTTAGATAGCTGAAGCTATTTTCAGAACGAGGCTTTGGTGATGTCATGTTCATTGTTTGGGATATTCAAGAAGACAATACTGGCTGCTCGAATACAAGGACAATATTTCATAAAATCATTATTGCCGATAAACTCAAACCATGAAAATTAAAATTTGTTTCATAAATGCATATATTAACTTTAGCATAATTAATAATAGTAATGCTATTAAACATAGTTATTTGATGAATAATTATATTGTCAAACTATGAATATGGAGCATGATTTAAATGGAAGTTAATATCACTATATTATGGTTAGGCTTTCACATACAGTATCCTAACTTTTTTGTTCAATGTTTTTATAAAAAGCTTATACATATATATATTTTCCTACACATCACATTTATTATATACCATATTATAAGTCAATCATTAAAGTAGGTAAATAAATTTTAAGGCCACGCTTATGACGTTGTCCATATTACTAAAGTGAGGCCATTGAATGAGCACATTTTTCAAGGAATTATAATAAAGTGGACACAATAAAAACATAATATTTTAAAAAGTCACTTTTCTTTCTCAGTTGTGGTTTTTCAGATGAATGATTGAGAAATTTGTTCCAGTTCTTCACAGTTGTAAATTCTTGACACAGTCCACAGATAATTTACAATAAGATGTTTAGTAAGACTTTGCAAATATGTTGTTGGAGTGAATTCTGATCATTGAAAAATTCTTTTTGCTTTATATTTGTCAAATCTTCCTAACGGACCACTGAGAAAGTTTTAAAGCTCTGATTAAAAGAATAATGCTGATTGCTTTAGTAATTGTATTATATTGCTGATGTTGTACAAAGCTATTTTTGTGCAATTATATTGAACTAGAGGCCTGATGTACGAAATTCATGTAAGGGGCTCGACCCCTGCCACAGCGTTAGCTGCCTCATCTGCCTTGGCCCCCGCCCACCACATGACCGCCTGGGCTCTCACAGCCCCAGCTTCATCAGGAAGATCGTCAGGTCTAATTAGTATATTACGCTTTTATTATTATAGATTACTGATTAAAATATCAAAATTTGCTCTTTATACTACCTTCTTTAATTAAAAGAAAAAAACCTAAAGCAGGGTTCATGTTAAATAAGAGGAATGACCTAAGATAAACTATGTTACTAGAGAAAAAGAACTCCTGGGGGCTCATCATTACTCTAAGATGCTTGAAAGTCAGAAAATGAAAATGCTCAGAAATTGGAAGATTAGATGCTAATTGACCAGATTCTGTTCTGATATAAACATCATGCATTTTAAGTACTTTTGCAAGTTATAAAGTATATGCCACTGAAACTTTAAAAGAGCAGAGATATTTTTAAACAAAAAAGATAAAGATAGTATGATTCTTATTCCAAATTTATGGATTATGTTAACAATGTTGATTGATTTCTTATTTTACCCATAGCTTAGACCCAGAACTGTATTCATAAGAGATAAAAGCAAGAACCTGCTAGTAGTCATAATGCTCCTATCTTTCAAATGGAGGCACATTTAAATTCCCTAAACTGCAGGAAATATTTTACTTATTCATACTGGAAATAACTCTCAAAGATTGTGCTGAAGAAATAATTAACAGTTATACATTTTAATCAGCTGTTGATCACCTTGTAAGGTTCTCCATACTCCTTATTAAATAACCAAGGCCTGGTGCATGAAATTCATGCACTAGGCGGGGGAGGGGGTCCCTCAGCCTGGCCTGCACCTTCTCCCAGTCTGGGAGCCTTCAGGGGATGTCCGACTGCTGGGGAGGCGGGACAGGCTCCTGCCACCACTGCTGCATTCACCAGCCGTGAGCCCATCTTCTGGTTGAGCAGTGCTCCCCCTATGGGAGTGCACCAACCACCAGGGGGCAGCTCCTGCATTGAGCACCTGCCCCCTGGTGGTCAGTGCACGTCACAGCGAATGGTCGTTCCACCGTTCTGTCGATTTCCATATTAGCCTTTTATTATATAGGATTATATAGGATGCTTTATGGCCAAAGATAAAATAAGATACATTACACTGTTCTACATTTGTTCCAGTATTAAAAAAAAATCCTTTGAGATATTAAATCAAATAGATACCATTATTTCTGTTGCCTGCTTTACAAAATTCCTAGTTAAGACATTTGTTGCTCCACAAATTCTCCCAATGGTTGATTTAAGACCAACTACTTTTATCATTTTTACAAAAATGCATATGTCTTCACACTCTGAGTAGACTGCAATGACCAAAGACATTAATGGCAAAGCATTTAAGAATTGGAATGTGTGCAGATAATCAAAATGTGTCCAAATCCCCCACTGAATTATTTGCATAATCATGCTGACTATAATACCTCTGACATCTGTCTCTTTTTCCTTATTCCTCAAGCAAAATCCGAAGTCCACGCCTTGGTCATCTTTAATCTGTGCTTCTCCCTGCTATTCATCCTAGGACTGTTATCTTCAAGTTAGTCCTGCATGGCCCTTCTAAGAAACCACTTTTTTTCCTCACCATCATTAACACCTGTACATTGTTTATTTTAAACTTTTTCTACAATTGTTTTCCACTTTGAGACAATGAAAAATCACTTCTTTTTATGTGTTGGTCACCAAACCACTCTGAGTTATTTAACTTTTTAAATACTATCATGAGTTTTAACTAAGTATTGTTAGATTAGGGAAATAGAGATAAACTGATAGATTCTTATTCTAATTACCTAAACAATTATTTATTATTCTTTCTTCTAATCATCAAATGAAAATATTTCTCCTAGCAGTTTCTTGAAGTCAATAGCTGTCTGATTTAACATTCTTTTTGACTTTTTCTCTTTTCTCCTAGGCCAGTGGTCGGCAAACTCATTAGTCAACAGAGCCAAATATCAACAGTACAATGATTGAAATTTCTTTTGAGAGCCAAAGTTTTTATACTTAAACTATATAGGTAGGTACATTGTTATTAACTTAATTAGGGTACTCCTAAGGCTTAGGAAGAGCCACACTCAAGGGGCCAAAGAGCCGCATGTGGCTCGCGAGCTGCAGTTTGCCGACCACTGTAGGACCTAGGCCATTTGACATTTTTTTTAAAAGGTTGTTTACTGTTACATTATGTTCTTAACTATATTCTTCCACTCCATTGTAGTTATATGTATAAAATATTCTTAAATTATATTTTATGGTATTTTATTTATTTTCTAGATTAGACTAATGATTAACAAAATGGAAAAAAAAATTGTTAAAATTCAAATTCTGAAATCCCATATACATAAATTTTCATTTAACACATTGGAGTTGTGGCCAGAAATATGCATTTTAACAGTGACTCTAATGCAAGCAATTCACAAATCATACTTCAAAAATTATATCCCCACAGACATTGTCCTTATACCAAATATTATTCAATCATTAAAAAAAAATTTAGGGGCATAGGTAAACACCGGAGACTGCTGCCGCAAACAACCACTTCAAAAATACAACTAAAAGACGGAACGGACATCACCCAGAACCACAGGAAGGCTGGCTGAGGAGAGACTCTTCAACTAGAAGGAAAAATAACAGCACACCGAGGCTCAGAGGAGGCGCAGTGTGGAAAAAACTCAGGTGCGGAGGTGCGCGCGCAAAGCGGGCTGGTGGCTGAGAGCGCGGTTGTCGTTTTCGGTCAGGGGGGAGTCTCAGACTCTGAGCTCCAGATACGGGCGAATCGCTGGGGACTCGGACCCAAACGGGAGAAGCGGGAGTGTCTGGCATCAGTTGGAAGGCAGCTTTCCCTCCGAGGTTTGCAGCGGTTCCGGGGGTTCTGAGAAGCAGAGCCTCTGGGAACAGGACTGAGGGCACCATAACGGCTCCCTCCGCCCGCCCTGCCCTGTTGATCCCGCCCCGCCCAAGCCCTGCACAGAGCCATTTGCCGGTTTGCCTCAGGCAAAGGCTAGATTAGCACCTCCCCAGAGGACAGAAGTTTTCAGCGGCAGACACAGCTGATTCACACAGCCAGTCGGCCTGGTGGTCAAATCCCTCTAGTATTAACTACAACAATCAAGGCTCAACTAGAACAAGACTGCGCACAAAGACCACTAGGGGGTGCACCAAGAAAG